TCCCAGGCAGCCCAGACTTTTATGAACGCCTTCAGCCAGTCCAAAGACTCTGGAATCCGCCATGTTTGAACCCCACTGGCCCCACTGCATATTCACTGAATATGCCTTATTCAGTAATCCCAAGTCTCAAGCTCTCCAGATGTTGATGTTCCAGTGTTTCACTGACGACTTGAGGAAAGGCTTGCTTTCCCTCCCCCACCACGTTGCTGCCTTCTGCTTCGGGTCTGGTTGGTTTATATCTCTAGACTGTGTCTCTAGCTCAGTGATCTCAGTGCCACTCTGTTTTTGGCAAGATGTCTCTACATGCAACATGCAAGGTATCACTGACTCAGCGATATCACACAGACCTCGAAGATGGCATCTTCAGAAATCTTTGTTGCGCTCAGCGAGACCTTCGCAACGACCTGAGGGAGACTCGTCAGAGGTATGTGAGTCATTATGTGAGCCTTCAAAAAATGAGGAATCCCACTGATCCCGCTACTACACTCTGAGAAAGTAGACGTGTCACTAAAGGCTGTGGTTTGAGGAACCCCCATGAATTGATTAAGACAGGAAAGTCCTGTTGATTCTCAACAAGATCAAAAGAAAAGCACCCTCTCTCTCTCTCTCTGTGCAGCTCAATGTATATATATATATATGTGCAACTGTAAAAAGTATATAATACTAATATATGTATACAGTATATAGATGTTCCTCTCAAAGTTCTGTCTCATGTGCTTGAAAACGGTCAAAGTACACACACTGCCATCGAAAAGCTGGAGGGTGATCCCCGCCCAGAACGGGGTATCAAGCTGAGTTTGTATTAGATTGGTAGTATGTCAAGAAAGTTTTCAAACAACACCAAGGGATGCCACGAGTCCCTGCCAACGACCCTAGCAAGTGGAACTCGCTATCGCTGCTTTGTTCCCCTGTTGTAGGGAGGGATGGGGGCCCCCAATGGACCTCTGAATCCCTCCTCCCATGCTCCCGACTTGACATTTCAACCCTTTTCAGTTTACAGGTTGCCATGCCTGCATCTTCAAGTCGGTGCACACTGTGTCGTCGGAAAAGGTGCGTCCAAACGGTGTCCCTGTGGGAGCGGCGGCGGAAGAAGCGGCGCTGTATGGATCTGTGTCTGTTTGCGACGCCCAAAACGCCGGACGCCGAAACACACGCCACGTGCGAAAACGCCGCCAGGCGCGCCTGCCGAGCGCTTGAGCCGCGAGGTCAAGAAGGGCAACAGATCGGCCCAAAACCTCTCCACGCCAGAGCCTCAGTGATGCATATAGGCTGTGTTAGGCTTTGTTAGTTAAGGAGACCCCGCAGGGTCAGGGAGGCCCCTTAGATGGCATATTAAGAAAAAAGGGTCTTTGGAAATGATAGCGTTGAAGGGTCTGTTCAACTTGTACGGGCAAGTCGGTCAGTCGCGCCAGATCTCTCCAAGCGACCTTGATGTGTATCCAGCTTTGATCGATTCTTCGCATGAGCGTGCAGCCTCGAAATCTCGTGGTCACCGTGGTCACCGGTCGGGCAAAACAAAACGATACATGCGAGGTCACCGAAGGCATCTGTCCATGGTCAACGCTGCATCCCTGCAAGGACGACTGGTTTGAGATACTCCGGACCACACATTCCGACTGAGCTTGGACTGACATGCTTGTATGCTGATATCGATGCATATAATATGCACATGCTTCGGCACATGTTTAAACACATGACACGTACCTATATAATGTAGACTCTTGATGAATAAAACATGAATTACATATGACATATACATATGAAACACGTATGACGAGGTTCTACCATCCAACGTGGGTTGTTAATCAAGATCCTACATCACAAATAAATATATAACAACATCCTGACCCACTGGACCCACTGGGTCATTCACTTGTCCCACATGATGGGCTCTTTTGGCTGTTGGCTCTTTTGGAGGGCAACGCTCCCGCTCGTCGGATCATCTCCGAGGTGCTCAAACGGAAGCCCAACGGCATCACCAATGGCCGTTCCCAAGAGGCTGCAGACTTGCGTTTGTTGCTGCGGCGTCAAGGTCCTGAACTGGTCTGTGGTGCCATGAGAGGTGGGACCTGCACCAACTGTGTAAAGATATTAACCAACCTTATTGCGAGTTCACACTAGCAACAAAAAGCTTCTAGTAGTCACTACTAGTAACAAGAAGCTACTTGGCACATCTTGGCACTGTGTGCTAAGATGGCATTCACAGCCACTTTTGGTCAAGGAACGTGTTTAAAAGCGTCAATGAGTCCTGCATTCTAGTCGCTCACCTACATAACAGGTGGCGGCTTGACGTTCTTCATTTGAAAGGAGCTAAAATTGAAATTACGCCATATTATATCTGGAAGTCGAGGTGGGGAAACCCTCTGGGGTCTCGCGATCGGATGGCTAGCTTTGAAACCAGTGATCCCACAGCGGCGGTGCGAGTGTGCCATGAGGCCACCAGAATTTTATGTTATATAGCCAATCTCCAGTGCCACTGCTTCCTCAAGTAAGGTCACTAATGGGCGACTCCTCCGAACGGGCCGTGCTCCTCACGTTCAAAAGGCACGGAAACACCGGGCACGTTTGCATGGACGGAGCATCCATCCAAACGCGCCGCAAGTTTGGCGCATCCACCCGCACCCAGGCGACGCGACGCAGGCGATGCGCCGTCCTGATGATTTGCTCCAAGTCCTGTCAGTTCCGACCCGCTTGGACCTCTCGATCAGAGGGATGGAGAGGGTGGGTGGGAAGACCAACCGCCCCGACGAGATCGCCGGTGCCCGAGATCGCCGGTGCGGCCGAAAAAGGAAGGAAGACCTGTGGCTAGCTACCACAGGGCGGCTCCCAACCGCCAGACCTGTGCTTTTGAGACATGGGAGCACGGTGCTTGGTGGCCAGAAAAATGCATGACATTGCATGACCCAGCATGGATTCCGGCTCCAACGGCCTCAAAGGGGGGCTCGGAGCTGTCCGCAACAGCCTCCTTCTTCTTGGGACTCTGACCTTGGAATTGCAGGAGTTTCGGGAAAACCACGCAATCAATGTGTATTTCCTAGAGAGATTCCCGACAGGAGAGTTGCTGCAAGAACTCGGATCCAAAACAATTGCACATTCTCGCGGGTGAGGGAAATCCTCCGAAACACTGCTTGTGTCTGGCAGAGCGGTGTTGAAGTTGTCCCGGGGTGTTACCCCGCTGAAGACCCAAAAGAATCACTGGTTTGTAAATGAAAATTGTCTTTCAGGGCGCCATTCTCAGGGTTCATGTTAGTGCACACTAGGAATGGAATTGAGACGTGTGCTCAGCCTTGTCCAGCCTAACTGGCTCGGTGGGTTCAACTGTGGAGTGGCTGTGGCACCAGCCCACTCCGCTGGTCAATTGAAGAACATGGACATGGACCTTCATAACGGCGACCATGTGTATACATACATACATACATACATACATACATACATACATAACGTTACATTACATTACATTACATTACATTACATTACATACATACATACATCCATGCAAACATACCTACATACCTACATACATACATACATACATAGATACCATAACATACCATACCATACCATTACATTACATTACATACCTAACATACCTAACATACATACCATACATACCATACATACCATACATACCATACATACCATTCATACCATACATACCATACATACCATACATACCATACATACCATACATACCATACATACCATACATACCATACATACATACATTACATTACATTACATTACATTACATTACATTACATTACATTACATTACATTACATTACATTACATTACATTACATTACATTACATTACATTACATACATACATACATTCATTCATTCATTACATTACATTACATTACATTACATTACATTACATACATACATACATACATACATTAATTACATAACATAACATAACATAACATTACATAACATAACAATACATTACATTACATTACATTACATATATATATACATAACATAACATTACATAACATTACATTACATTACATTACATTACATTACATAATTACATAATTACATACATTACATACATTGCGTACATACGTACATTACATTACATTACATTACATTACATATATTAATTACATCCATCCATCCATCCATCCATGCATGCATGCATGCATGCATACATACATGCATAGATACATACATACATACATTACATTACATTACATTACATTACATTATATATATATATATTATGTGATTATATGTGCCTTTTACTCCCATTTCCCCTCATGGTGCATCAAAAGGCGACATAGGCGGACCATGGACGTCCCAAGTGGCTCTTGGTGGTGCCCATCAGTCGACCCCACATGGCGCAAAAACAAGGCTGAGCTGAGCTGACTGAATCAGTGTGCTGACTGGGGTGAGCTGCTGGCATGAATGTGCTTCCTCTCCTTCAGCTGTGGAAGTGGGAAGTTGCAAACCATGCGGCCCGGGCTGCCCCCAAAAAATGGACGAAAGAAATGCTTCTTGCACCCGGTGGCATCTGTCTCAAAAGAACTGAGCAAAGATAACAAACCTGCTCAGCTTGGGACACAGCGTTCGCTGGCCCCATCTGACAAGTTCGCTTATGGCCTGGTGGCATCACAGTGGAAAACCATCAGCTTGAGTTGCAAAATGGCCAGCACTCTGCGGGAATACGCGCGGCTGGATCATGACATGCTGACCTCGTCGCCATCCTCTCAAATCGTGAATAGAATCATGGACCTTTAGCAAGTCCAAAGAATGAAAATGTATTGGGATTGTTTCTGCCTATTGATCTGAACCCCTTCTGCCTCTGGCATCAAGCCACTCAATTGAAAGAGTCTCCTTGAATTGTTCAGTTTCGTGCTGTCTGGATTAGGTCCTTGCGTTGAATATGCCACCGGCGTTGAAAGTGGATGCTCTGGTATCGAAACCAAGGCGTCTCCCAGAAACCAAGAGAGACACCAGCTCACCTTCGTCATGGCCGTTTCTAAGTCACGGGCTGGCACCACGACCTGCGCTAAGGGTCACTCACAGAAGGCTCAGAGTAGCTTAGCTCTGCGAGGCTCCAGCGCAGTGCAGAATCTTTTCAGTCGGCCATCTTCCACTCCCTCGTTGGCAAAAGATCCGTCTACCTAAAAGTGGTCTAAGAAGGTTGCCATTCCCCGCGCGCATGCAACATAACGCCATAAAAGGGAAAATCAAAGTCTCCTACTCGCCACCACTTCTATTGAGAAGTGTCCCGTGCGTTAGCAAGTGGTGGCTACGACTCCTTCACAGCCCCAGAAAATGGATGTGGCACTCGGTTCCAGCAAACCAGAATCAAAACGTAACATTGTTTAACCCATCCCAACCACACTGTATATAGAGTCTTAGTATACCGCATACAATGTAAAAAACAAAAAAACAACTGTTCATTCAGTACTGCAAGCCCATCTTCACGGTTGAAGATCTGGTGCCATATTGTAAAGCCCATTAGCTTCGTCCCCAAGCCCAAGCGGCCTCCGCGCCGCCGAGTCCCGTTGAACTTCAATCCTTTAGTGGGCTTCGACGAAAAGAAGGACGGAAAAAACATACGCCGGCCCCATCCAGAGGTGTGAACCCCAGCAGAAGAGTCAGACCGGAAACGACTCCCGCCTCCTTTGCGGACACACTTGGCCAGCGCTTGAACTCGAGGGCTTCGCCTCAGCAGTAGGAGATGAATGGCTCAGGTGCATTGCCTCATACATGTCCGGAGGAGAATCATATTCCGGGACATGTTGTTCAGATGTGTTGAGCTGTTCAATTTGAGCCACAGCCACAACAAAAGCTTGAGGACCGACGTGGTCCGAAGAAAAAAGAACGTTTCTTTCGCTGCGACAGGGTTGGTGTGATGTTTCTTTTCCTGAAAATGGGATGTCTGCAAACATTGCCTCCCCCACGAACCGCACATGTTCGGCCTTGCAGTTGAAAGGCAGCTTGGCACATCAATCAAGGGTTCATGAGCATTCCGGACAGGACATACTGATTACTGATTACTGTCACTTTCTGTACTGTATAGGCTGTATAGGCATGGAAATTGATTGGCACCTCACAAGTGCCGTCGAAGCATGAGCAACTGTGCTGCTGTGCAGTTGTTTTGGCATTTACTTATGCCACACAACGCTCCAAACAGTGATTATCCTCTGGTAGGTGATTAAATTGTGATTTACGTCGTTCCAAGACCTTGATGAACTTATACCTGCAACCTCGTGGTTGCTTCCCTTCTTTTTTGTGGTCGGTAGGTAGTTCAACATACCTTTGAGTAGGTCTTGGAGCCACATAAACAGCCACAACCGAAATAAACACCCGCTAAAAATCAAAAATAAAATACGGGCGGTGAAAAACACCCGCGGCTCACCAGTAAACGCCCGTGGAATATCATAAAAGTCAGAAAAATAGAGACTCAAATGCAAGGCTGTGACGCCAAAAGGTGTTTTTCACGCCGCACATCGAGAAAAACAAGCATTTTGCGCATTTTGAGGAAGTTCCGGGTATGATAGATACCCACATTCCAACCTTCCAGTTGAATGTTTTTGTCACCCAGCTCCTTATTTGTCAATTCTATAGGGATCCAGTACAAGGCCCCCCCTCTCCGCACGGCCGGGGCCCCACACGCTCGCGGGTTCGCTCCACCTCACGCTGGCGTTCCTCCTGGCGTGGCAGGGGTTGGCAGAGGTCGCCTTAGAGGTCGAAGAACATGTGTCACAAACATCACATGATAGCAAGGCCCTTTTTGAGAAGTGTTCTACGCCCAAATGATAAAGATCAGCCCAGGATTTGCTTGACATGTTTCAACAGGTTGGTGTTGTCAGCATATAGCAGTTGCACTTGTATGCAAATCGAACAATATGTAATGATATAGACTATTAATACAGTAATATTTACTGAATACGGTTGTTTGGGCGAGAGTATGTGGTGTGAATATGGTATTATGGCGACCTCCAAAATATAAGAGCCTGGAGGAAGAAAAACACAACGTTTTTACCCAAATCAATTGGGCCCACATGGCATGGGCCTGAGCAATTGACCCGACCCCCCCCGACAGCTGAATGCAACAGCGGCCTCGACAGCTTGCTCCCTCAAATACTCTGCTGCCCGTGCACGTTCACGGTCCCCGCGGCGTTGGTAGGAGACCTCCTGGACGGGAGACCCTCGGCCAGGCCGTTTTGGGGCTCAGTGTGTTCTGTGTTACTTGGATGTTCTGCAGGAACCGGGACAAATGATTAGACAAATCCCGGAAGAGGATCACACACATAGGGAGCATACAAACCACATCAAACCACCCTAGGCAAAACCATCGCAAAAACCATGTTAATCCCGGATTTACGATGGATTTATGACACCAAAACCACGGGTTGCACCGGTGTATTCTGCCCACCTCTCCAACCGAACGTTTCAATGCTTCCCAGGCTGACCCAAGAGAGATGGCCCAAGAGAGCCTCAAGCCAGCTGTTGGTCCAAAATCACGGCGAGAGATCGTGAAATCACATGATTTAACACGCGCTTTAACTCATTAAACACTCATTTAGCAAAATTTGCAGCTTGCATGCTGGGTGTATGAACTGGATTGCGCCTCCGTTGCGCCAGTTGGATCCAGATCATCCCTCGAATCGCCCTGTCCTTGGTGTCCTTGCCCTGTGCCTGAGCGAAATCGGCTTTCTCCGGAGAAGAACCCCAGTGCGCCGACCGCGGATGATCTCGCTCTCCAGAAAGACCGACTCAAAAACCCACGGCAGAACCGTCCCACGGCAGAACTGCCGGTCTCACAGAGCCAGGTGATACCAGGTGTCCGTGTCCCACTCCGAATGGTCCATCGGTCCACGTCGGACGCCTTCAGGTTCAGTGACTGTTCCTGGCCGAGGTCCGCAAAGATCGTAGGGCACAGAGGAATGATGACCGGCAAACTATCAAAGGGCACGAATATCGAGTTTCTCCTTGAACTTTGATATTCGACGCATACTGGTTCAGTACTTGCATGTTTGACTGTTTCATTTCTGGGCGGCCAAATGAATGGTATACAACCGGGGCTTGCCTGATTCCCCTATCCACGAATGAAACACCATCGTAGGAACCCAGGAGGCATCGCACCAATCTCTTCGTCTTCGCTCCTTTTTCCACGTCGCGAACAAGCGGATCCAAGGCAAAGAGATGAGCCAAGCGATGTCGGACATGGTCAAGTCGCATCACATGAAAGGAAAACGAAGCTCAAAAACCACCAATGAAGCTCAAACCCGCCGGCGGAGCCCGCGGTGCCACGCTCCGCGACACGGTCCGGAGCGAACGTTTGCTCCGCTCAGGTCATGAAGTTTCTTTGATCAACATCAGGCTGACAATCCCTGCCATACTGCCAGTGGCCAACCTAACTTGATGGATGTGGCAGCAAAACCAACAACTGAACTGCAAAGCCACATGACAACTAAATGGACTCCCAATGATGCGAGCTGCTTACAAAGCGTACCAGCTTGCATGTTTCGGGCCAAGAGGGGAGCATGATGTTTCGCAACATTATCTTCATGACATACCAATCATGCCAATGGGCGAACCGATGAAGTCCTAAACATGAGAGAAACATGGAGATGCTGCGGCAAGCATGCACAAAGAAGGCTCTTGATTTTGTGGCTCGAAGGAATCATTCAATCCTCCAAGGAATGCACGTTGCTGGACCGTTTCGTGGGAACACGGTGAAAGACAAACACCGAAGCTGAAGGACCAGCCCGGTGCACTGAACGCCCCCCGCCGTGCTCCCTCCCAACTCCCTCCCTCCGAGCTGCGCAAAGGAGCCATCACCTTTGGGCAGAGTGGCAGCGACCTGGACATGAAGCTCTCTGAACGAACGTTGGCCACACAAAGCGTATTTTCGAAAACAAACGCCAATCAAGGATTACCATAGATCTGGCATGCTCAGGTGCTCCTTGACCTCTAGGATTCTAGGATCCCTGGCGCAGCTGAGGGGGGAGAGCCGATTCTGGACGATGAGATCCAATTTCCAGCGTACACTTCTTCGTCTCCCACAGGCGGTGGTGATTCACAATCTCGTATTCGTACTCCAGAAACCTCAGGCTGGCCCCACCACTCTGGGCAAACAGTCCTAGAGGGTGGTGGACCTCAGAAATCATCCAAAAAAACCATCGGTTTTGGAATGCCAAGTGCTAAGTAAAGTGGCCATGAAAGGCCCCTGGGTGTGGTAGGAACACCTGGGGGTCTAAGAGCTATATCCCACTGACCCATGTCCCCTGCATTCGGGCACCGAGGCCATGTATGTTCCTTCTCTCTTTATATGTTACTGTTATATGATCGTACATACATATATATATATATGCACCTGGAGAGATGTACCATATGCGCACACGCATAAATATAAATACATATATATATATATCCTGAAGTACATAGAAATTCGCTGCAACTCAATCGCGGGGCTCTCAACAAAAACACCCGCTTGCCAAGTACCCAACTTGATCCATTGGGAATATTCCAAGTATATACCCGTTTCTTTTGGTCAAGGCAGGGTACTTGAAATATGGAATTGAAATGACGGAATATACTTTGGCCGCTCAATTCCATATTCTATGTACTTGAGGACTTAAGGACGAGTTATATATGGTTATAATTATATACATATATGTATATACTTATATAATGTTGTACAGGTCTGGCCGTTTGGACTCGTCCCCCAAGGCCCAACTGGAATCTTCTATACTTCTCCATAATATTTTCATTACTGTAGTTATCATTATGTAGGGCTCGAGGTGGCTAGGTCAGATCTAGCAGAACTCGGCAGCCCCAGTGAAGTGAAGTGAAGTTATCATGATGTAATTATAATAATTGATAATACCTTTGCACCTGGTGCCGACCACACTTCCGAATCAGCCAGGAAACATCTTTTGGATGTACTCCTTCCTCTGAGCTTCCTCTTTGGGACAGCTGTAGGCCATGCGAGGGAAGGGAAAATCCTTCAAGTCGTTACTGCCCGAAAAGCCCCAGCACTGCCACGCGTCTTCCTTCCTCGCGAGTCCACAAGCTGGCAGTGCTCGGTTGCATGTGCTGCACAATGAAAACATGTGAAAACAGGAACCCTCCACTGACAAAGATTTTATTCTCGCCTTGCATACGAAATGTTGCTAGAGGTCAATAACAATTGACTGAGAGTACACACTGGAACTTGCGTAAACGCATGTAACACCATGCGGCGTGTCAGCAGAGAACCAAAGCCAGCAAAAGGGGAAAGGAAAACAATATACATTCATTGGAGGAAAAAGACACCTGGTCTGGAACAGAAAGGCCAAGGTGCTGTGCCTCCCTGCTCCGCAGATTCTTCCCAAAGTGCAAACATCGCCGGGGAGTGAGGTTTAAAACCCCATCAGACCATGCGCTGAAGATGCCCGGTGCAGTGCTGCACATGCCCGCGCATTTGACCAAGTGCTTTCCACCCGATCCCCGATTGGAGCGGATCTGGCTCATGCGCTGCTCATGCATCTCAATGATCGCGCATTCAGAGGGCAAGCACAGAGTTGAGTCGCTCGTCCATGACAGATTCATCATCGGCAAACGTGAGGCAGGCATAAAACACCGCAATGGGACCACTGGCACAGACAAATCCCATAAGACCAAATACCCCGTGGATAGACCTGCCACCAGGAGTTCCTCCGATCTCGGGCACCATGCAATCGAGACGACTAAATCTGCATCCAAAGTGTTCGGCTTCAACCTGAAATCTCTGTCTCTTCTGTGCGAGAGAAGAAAGGTGGTCGAACACCAGGTCTGTCAGACGAAGGGGAGAAGCTCAAAGCGACGAAGGCACGAAGTGGTTTCAAGATCTCCCCAAAAATCATGGTTACATGGATGGCATGGCCCCTGACCCTGGCAGGACCATGTGACCCTCTACCAACTGAAGGTTATCCCATTCCACGTTGTTGTTTTCTGAGTATCTGGAAATACTGATGCCTTTTGACTGGGATATCACTTCCCCAAATCTGCCAAAACTTTATCCAAGCCGCACCTCACATGGTGCCCTCTCAGGCGTCCCCTTGCCGCTTAAGCGCCACACCAGCACCACGCCGCGCTCGCAGCCCGCGGCGATCGTGAGCCCAGTGGGATCGGCACTGCCAGCGCGGGCGCTGGCACACTGCAGGTAGCGTTGCCAGACAGCTGCCGGCTGCGCACCTGGAGACGGGAGACTGGAGACGAAGAAAGGACGTGAAACAGACGGTCCAGTGGCCAAAGCAAATGGATTGCAGTCTTGGAGTGCAGCATCACGCTTGAGCTTGAGCTCTTTTGTGCAGATTCAGGGAAAGCTGTTGAAGTGATGAAAGTTGCACATACACGATTCACACGATCACCCATGCCTGCCAAATACAATGCATGACTGGGCAGGAAGTGGTTGTTCCATGTTGTGACCTGTTGCTGCGATTCGGGTTCTCAGGCATTTGTTGGCCAAATTCCTAGGGCCGTTCCGGATCTGCCAGACACATGAAGCTTTACATTGGCTAGCTGCGGGTAGTTGCACTGGGCTGAGTCTCCCAAATGTCCTACTCACACCCATACCACCCCAATCCATCCCATACCTATATGCAAGCCATCTCAAAATCCAAAAACCAAGGTTCAGCTTCACTTCGCCGACCCAGCTTCACCCCTAGGTGTCGACTAAAAGGAACAAACAAACAGTATTAAAATTCACTATTTCTCGCTGTCAACATGACGCGTTCCACTTGCCTATCGCTACAAAGGGGGGGACGGAGGAGCAATCTGTCCGATGTTAGTGTTTGAATGTCAAGCTACTGTTCAAGCTGCATTGCATATATAAAAGTACGTCTACTTATGCATATATATTATATATATACATATAAAATATTGATATAGTAATATAATGTAATATATATTATATACTGCGAGGGGTACTGCGAGGGTACATGGTTTGGAAGCTGGAAATCAATGGTTTTCGTGGCCTCGAAATTGGTGCCCTGTCGCAGTCACGCCTTTTCGCCGCAGCGTTTGGAAGCCTTCCGAGTGCTAATCACAATGGCAGGGATGAAATCGGCGCAGGACATTGAAAAATAGGCCCATGCCTTCCGAATGCAAATCACAGTGGCAGGAATGAAAATAGGCCCAAGCAGTGGCCAAATAGGCCCAAGCCTTCCGATGGCAAATCGCAATGTCAGTGATGAAATGGGCCCAAAGATTCTCTGAAATAAGTGATCTTTTAACTTTTCTCTTTAAAATTCAACGACTTCTTGTGCCTATTTCTGCCTATTTCTGCCCTACCATTGGGAATTGCTCCCGCACGCTTGGTCCTACGCTTGGGCCTATTTCATCTCTCACATTGTGATTTGTGTTTGGAAGGCTTGGGCCTATTTTGGCGACTTCTGCTTCCTTGCCTTTTTAAGACATTGAGACAATTGCCCCCACCATGAGAGGACGAGCGCCGAATCCTCCTCTTACGCGAGTTATCCGACTTTGAATCAACAACAAAATCCCACGAGCCGCTATGTCGCCCGTTGGGCGATGGCGGCGGCGCTGCTCTTCGGTGCCGATGTGTGAACTCGTAGAGGCGAGGCCGCTTGGCTGTTAAAGCCGGTTCTACTAACTTCATGGCCGGCTCGGGCCATTTTTGCGGAAGCGTCGTGGGCTATTCGTGGGCCATTCCTGCGCTCGTTGTTTTTTAAGAACACACTTGTTGCAAAGTCTGGGCAACCTTCGCAGAAATTTGTGGAAGGTGTTTAGGTGCACTAATTTCCTGAGCGATAAAAGCAATCTTGGCACACCCTTTCCCGCTCACACCCTGCGGCTTCCTTCTTATAAGAATCATAGATGCTTCATGCCTCAGGCGCTGTCGCTGCTCGGCGGCGCTGTTTGGCGGCGTGAGATTGTCTGAAGCAGAACCCAGCATGCTTCGTGCACGAATGAAGATCTACGTGTTTCGAGCTCGCATCACGACCATGAAAGACATCAAGCCCTGCGCCGCCTGTTTCTCCATGTGGGTCCTTGCGCATGCGGGGCAGGGATTTCCTCCCATCTCGGAAATGCAGAATGCAGTGACCTGAGAACGAGTTGACACCCCAGACCTGGTAATTCAACAGGCTACTCTCAAAACAGCCTCTTCCCAAAACAAGCCACATGGATGTTTCCTGTTACACTTCTTCATTACAAGTCTCCCATGCCCCCTTGTAATCAATGTTAGTAAGCGACATGCTTGCTGTTATGCATCTCCAGTACAACTCCCCCATACCCCCTTGTCATCAATGTTACTGTTACAGATGTTCTGAAACAAAGCGGCCACCCCCAAAACTCATGCCTTCAACATTGCTTTCAGGGGGGGCGGGCGATGTCAGTCTTCAATCAGGGTGCTTGGTACTTGAGAAAGAGACAGCTTCAAAACTTGTGACTGGAGGTGGGCTTGAAAATTTGTAATTGGCTGAGTCTCCGCAAGAGAAGGAAGAGAAGGAAGAAAGGAAACATATTGCAGGCGGCTGTCAATTCGCACCAGGTCACACCACATGATTCTTATGACAATTGAAGCCAATCTCTTTCTCTCTTTTCCAGCAGCCCGAACAGAAGAAGGAGCAATTGAAACCGGGAATGGTATTCTATGGGGTCTGCATTGGTGTTCTATTTTCCTTCGGAAGAACAAACATATGTTATGCTACAATCGGGTGCATCGGCGGCCTAGAAAACGAGTCCGCGTTCGCAGGCCTTTTGAGGCTTCAGACTCTCGGGCCCCGGTTGTATATACTTCTTTTAAAGTCCATGTCTAGTATAAAGCTGCTCAAATTACCTCAATCTATACATCCCCCTGCCCCTGCTCTTCAGCCATTTCCCCTCACCTTCTGGTGCAGTGACGGCCGTCCACGCGGGGGCAAAACGAGCGAAGAGCCACGCGCGGCTCAAACTCTTGGGCTCAAAGGCGTTTTTTGGGGAGACTGTAGATACCTCAGCTGGTGCGGTAAACAACTCTGGCAAGCAGCTGGAGCCAGCTGGAGCTTTGTTTGCAGGCTGAGCCATGTGGTCGGACCCTGCAAGGGAAACACGACGTGCTGGTGAGAGCTTGGTGATGCTCCCTACTAAGCGTGTGAAAATTAGAATGAGTTTCAGTGAGCTGGCACCAGTTGCAAGCATTGATGCCTTGCATCTACAGTAATCTTCTAATCTTCTATGCAGTCATGGCAGGGTGGACACTGACATGTCTCCGCGTCAGGTTCTCTGCAGTGGTGAAATCATGAATGCAAAGCCAGGTCCTCTCAGGTTGCATTTTGTGCTTCAAAGTCTTTCACCTGGTTTCATCCCGAAGCGAAGGAAAGAAACCTCAGCCCAGGTACACAGCTTTCCATCTCCTAAGCAGGCCAGCAACAAGCCCAGCCTGTCCTGGCCGGGTGAACGGGAGTTCAGTAAGGCATGGGCCCGCATGTGAGCGAGGTCCGCATTCTTGTGGCTTCTTGTGACACGGTCCAATCCAACCTGAAAAAGAATAGGCCTGAGAATGATGGAACAGCAACCCGCAGGTCGAGCGCTGATAGGAGATACATACTTATGTTGATGCAATATATTATAATACATCCAAAAATCGCTTGGAACGATTCACCAGGTCGTGAGCAGTTCGGTCAAATCCAAGGGCTCTCTCTTTGGGTAGCCTCAAGGGAATTGTGGACATCTGTAGACCTGTCTGCATGCCCCGGTCCCAGAACACCCTTCCTGCCAAGTCTGAAAGATCCCAGATCGCTGGACCTCGAACCAACTTCCTCCTCAACACCCTTCGCTCCCCCGAAATCCTCCATTTCCGCGCTCCCTTCGGCTCCCTTCGTCCTTGTGGCTCTTGGATGGCAGCCATTCCAAGCTTCGTGCACAGCCACCCTCGTGGACCAGCCCAACCCGCAGCGAACTCGTGGGACTCGCCTCCTCGAGCTGCACCCGCCAGAGCTGCAGCGCTGCGAGACCCTGCGCCGGACCCTCTGCGGGACTCGCCGGCTGCTCACGGCCATGAACAGCAAGTGCCAAGACTAGGCCACATGGAGACCAGGCCGCTAAAGAGACCTGAAGGACGGGGAAAACAGGGGGTGACGTGTGTAGGCGTTTTATTGTGTGAGGGGTCTCACACCAATGCAACTGCGCTTGGCAAAGTCCAAAACTTCTTGGGCCGTTAAAATTCAGAAGTGCTTCCAGGAGACATAACAGCCAGTGTTTAGCACAGCGAAGCTCTTACCTGGGTGGCACAAAGATTTGTAAAAATTGGAACCATGTAACACTAGAATAGAACAATCATGGTCGTAGATATGAGATGTTGGCAATTTTGGATGCATTAGATGGGAACTGGGCAACACGTTATGGCTTTTATCTGTTATTCCGAGAAATTCCAGATTCGCTCTTTGAACACCAGGTGGGCTCGGAAGTCGCAAGCCAAAAACGATGTTGAAACCAATGCAAGGAGGACAAGAAGTCGGAGCATCCTTCTTCACTATAGTGGAAGCACTTCCAATCGGAACCTCCAGTTTGGGCAGCTTCAAAGCGCACGGCCGCAGACCTTGTGGCAGTAGCGCCTCGTCTGGAGGAGATGAGAAGAAGGCTGTGGCGCCCAACCAACAAGGGGAGTGATGTATGCGACACCATCACGTCACAATGTGATGATATATGACGGATGACACCAGCCAAACATGAGCACACTGACTCCAGCGCCCCTGGAAAATCGAGGTTATTGACCTCGTTTTCCGCGTGTTCTATCATCTGATCTCGCAGCAACCATGTGCGACGGCGGTACTGCTGATTTTTCATGGCTTTTCCACGTGTTCACGTTTAATGGGGAAACATCGGGCCATAGGGAAACCAATCCCCAAACAAGGTTGGGCAGGTTGCAGGTTATCTACTTTTCCTGGGCAGGGAGTCATGAGAATATGATGAAGAAATCATCCAACTCTGGCTAAGACTCCTCAAGCTGGGTCTTCGTGACATGTTTCTGCTTGTACTCCAGGATGACATCACCTCGGACGCACCAAAGCAGGTCCACCGGTCCACCTCTGCCTAGCTCCCAAAAATTTTATACGCCGTCCACATCAGGGGCTTGCAACTCATGATAATTTTGCACCTTCTGACCTACCCTCCAGGTTTGTCCAAAACATTCCAAAACATCAGCTCAGTCACATGGCACAAGCTGAGGTAAAAGCGCATGAGTGGCTTTGAAGTGGCAAATCTTCGGAGGCTCCACACGCTTGCGCCGTGTGCCCGAAGCCTTTGGGGTGGACTTCAGGCGCGACGGCTTCAGCCGTGTCTTCACGGGCTGCTGGCGCGCTTTCGGCGGCTTGCCCTTGACCATGGCGACATTGGAGCCAGCTTGAAATACGGAGCTTTGTACTCAGTCACACCAGGATCTGGCATAAAATTGTTTTATATAGTTACACAGTTACTGTTACTATAGTACTATGCTTTTCCAGGATGTCTGCTGTACAGGTGCTGGGTAATGACCACTTCACAACTGCCTATGAAGAATGCTCGTCCGGTGTGCCAGGAAGGGAACCACCACTAATGAATGCTAATGTGATTCATGTTGAAGCGCCACCCCGCATGACCTCGTTAGTCAGCTGCGCAACCTGCAACATGCCAAAAGCAGGTCCAAACTCAGCGGAATGCAGTACATGCCGACCAGACTGCTCCAAGTTCAGCCGAGTTAGCTCTCGCCCGACACACCGAGCTATTCGCTCTAGACATACGCTTTACGCCGCGCTCGTTCTCAAGCCACGAGGAAAGCACTGCGAAGACGAGGTAGGAGTCGCATCTGAGAAAAGCCCTGATTTTCTGGTGAGAAGTCATCCAGAAAGGAACCTTTGGACTGAGACTGTAGATGTTGCAATGGTTTGAAATACCATCTGACTCACTAACATCGGAAGTGGAAAACCATCTGTGTAGAGGAGAATAGTCATAACTTCCATGTTAGTGAGTCGGAGTGTAGATCAAAACGGTGGGGTCGGAGTGCAGCGCTTGATTCCCTGTAACCAACTCTCTGGGATCACTGCATGATCAACGCCCATCTTCTCCCCTGCTTTTGAAGAAGCTACACGAGCTCCAAACAACAAACATTTCTAAGCCCTAAGCTTGCAGCTTCCACTCCACAAATCGGGATCCCCCTTCCCTTCCGCCCTCCGGAGTCTCCGGATTTAGGATTTGCACGCTCTTCGACCCGGCAGTGCCCAGCCCCACCCTCCTCGTGGCGGGGATCCGCCGCTCGGATCAGCTCCTCGCACAGCTCCCCAAGCGCCTGGCAACGGTGGGAAGGGGGGTCAAGGGACGATGTGCTGTTTCGGTGTGGTCTTCAGGATTGAGTGATTGACCCACTGAACATGGAGGGAGTGCAAGTATAGTACGAACTTGTCTCCAACATGCCCACCTGTCAAAGGTTGGGACATTCCTGGAAACCAAGCGCGAAAGCTACGTGGGTGAGACTACCAAACCACCCAGGTCACCACGTGCATCCTTGTTCAACCATCATGCTCGTCATGCTCGTCCACGTCTCAACGGCTTTTTCGCTTCTCAGCCTGTCCGATTGGCATCGAGCATCCGCAGAATCAACGATTCCTCACATCCCCTTGGACTGGACGGATCTCCAACATCCCCGCACACCAGCACGCTCACGTCCAGGCCATTCCAAAGGATTCGCCAGCGGACCTCTTCATGCCTCCGCATCGGAGCGACAGGTGCCACACGAGATCCGGAACTCCCATGGTTGTACCGTGGATGGCATGGCCCCGAGGTCGGAAGACCATGTTCCTCTAGGGAGGTAGACTCCGCTTCCGCTTCCGCTAGTTCCAGGGAGTTCAGCGTTTGAAGTGATGGGGCAAACTCACCCCAGAAAGTTCACCTGACCCGATTCTGGTCGTCGTCTTCGACTTTTTGGCTTCATTATGTCAAACAAATACCGTCCGCGTTCCTGTACACCAACACCACTCATCATCATTCTACCCTACCACTATCAACTCCAGAATCTGACCCTCCAGCTTCTTCCAGTCTTTCCTTGGCCCACTTCTCCGCCCCCATCTGCCCCAGACGGCCCAGACGTGAGCTCTCTGCCTGGCCCAGCGCTCCATCTGCAGCATGGAGCCACGGGCTGGACGCTGCAGCGGAGTCTCTCGGGTCACTTCTCGGCAGGTGAGGCCCAGGCGTGCCATCAGTCGCGTGAGCCGGACCACATCCAGGCTCACGAGCGCAAAGTGCCTGTTTTTGGAAATGAAATAGAGTTCGGTTCTTGGCCTAGTAGCGTCCGAACGCTCCGTTCGTAGCGATGCCCTTTACTCCGTTCGTAGCTCAGAAGCTCCTAGTCTACGGCCAGGAGCTCCTAGTATGTAGCGTCCTGTGTCATGATCGGGTCACGGAAGTCAGGGCACCTCTGAAAGTTGGTGAAAGAAACAAAACGGGCCCGACTTACTGGGCCCGACTAATCTAAGAAGCTTGAGCATTACCACAGCAAGTGCTTTTTGAGTCGTAGCAAGGAAAGATACAAGGGCCAAGCGTCGCAAGGATTTAGTGCAGGACTTCACAATAGCACTCCAAGTCCTGTTGGGGCATGTTAGGACCATATCCTACTCAATCACCTCTCACCCGCTTTCACCCTCAAGTGCCTATTCTTCCTGGCCAGCTGTAACCATCCCAAAGACTCGCCGGAGTCTTTGCAAATCTCTGAGTCTGCTCGTTGGATGGCTTCAGTGGCAGCCGCCGGGGTCATGCAAGCATCACGAGTGCAAGGGAGGGTGCCCACATGACACCACCTAGCCGGTGCCAAGCGCGTCAAACGGGGCCACAATGCCTTGAATGAGCTCTTTCTCTTGTAGTGACAAAGCCGACAAGCAGCAGACTTAGACTTAGAGACTTAGAGACTTTTATTTATATATATTGTATACATACAGAGAGAGATGATCTTCTGATGATCCTATATAGATGCCAAGTCGATCGAAAACCCCTGATGCACAACAGCACCATCCAAACAAGCCGTCCTGGAGAAAAGAACAACTCTACCACACTTGACTACGCCTGTGGAATGATTGAATGAAGCATAATGAAGCAAAGAAAGAGACTTCAAAAAGAATCCAAACATTTTGAGCAGTCTTCGAGTCTCCCTCCATGAACTTTTGTTTGGTCCTGGGCCGGTGTGCCTGGCCAGCAAATCATCTGTGGCTGTCACTGAAGCCAATTCTGGGGCCATTGGGACCATGTGGATGGAGACCTGTCGACAGTTCAGTTATGTGAGGTCCAAGTCTGAAGCTCTCTGAGGTCCCGCTCCTGGACTCAATTCCCACAACATAGAGGTTTTTGTAGAGCTTTGCCGAACATGATCTATGGGATTCGAGCCATTTAGGACTTCTGAGGGGGCTCTAATCAACTTCTTCTGACAGTAGACTCAGTAGACAATCCAAGAATACAAGGACAAACAGGGAAACAGGGCCCGGGTCGCCAGCTAGATTTGGGTCACTGTCGTGGATAGGCCTCAACCTGGACCAAAACCGTTCACCAATGTATTGACATGTCGACTGTTGACCACCCTGCTGTTCAACATGTTTACTTCACTGGATTTGTGTATGAATAAAGCACCCGGTCGCTCAAATTTCCCTTCTTCCGTCTGGTCTCCCAACCCATCTTCCAAGCTATGCAGCTATGCAGCTGTCCCTTCCACGTCTGGCAGTAAGGGCAACAAGGTACCCACCACCGCGGTGCGCGATGGCTTGCTGTCCACGCCTTATCCGTTGCGGGAGGAGGCCAGGCTTTTGGAGGCCGGTCTGGGGGGGTGGTACCCCAGGTGTTTGGCCCGTGGCAAATGACTTGTGCACTGAAAAGGTCTTTGCGGTGCCAAAGCGAGGCTTGGGGCGTGCAATAGGGAGACCTCCTGGCCTGGGTAGACTGACTGGTCTGTTTTCCTTCTTCCAGGGGGTCGTTGCCTGGGAGGCCTCCCTGTCGCATCTCGAGAGGACATGATCCCGCTCAATGCTGTTTGCTGGGATGCTCTCACCTCAGCAGTGACATCGGACCCAACCTACAATATCCTCCAATTCCGTTCTTGAGGAATTCACCATGCGGCAACCTACCCAACCACCAAACTTTGAACATTGATTTGACAACCTTTTATCCTTTAATGTTTTTGTATATTATCTATATACATTATACATTGCACATATGGGACACCTTCCAGATTCCTCTCATTCTGTCTCCCTCTGTCGAATTTCTGCTCTTTGTGCCCAAGCAGCTCAAGACCTCGAGGCTTGCAGAGCTCAAGACCTGCTCATAGCGGGCTGCCAAGTGCCGGCCATTCAGCACTGCCTGCCTCGGTTACACGGGGTAGCTTGGTCACACCCCTGTGGTACTCCCCACCGGTTGGACTACCACCGCCGAAGGATGCCGAAGGTATTTTGAGCGGTGATGATATTGATGAGGATTTACGACGCTTTTAGGATCAGGAAAACAGTGTCATTTGCAGTGGTATCTAGTTGGGGGAAGGCTATCCACATGGGGGAAGCATGGGGCTACTACGATCTACTATGTGGTGGCATTTGCACCGAAATACATATTACTGCATTTGCCAGGAGTGGGTTTTCCACTTCCACGGGACCCACGCGTCCAAGCATCCCAAGACCCACGCGTCGAACCGAAATGAACCACCTGGCACACCCGACGCGTCCCTTCGTGTTGGCCCAAGCCGCTTGAAGCCTTCCGACGTCAGCTGCTGAGCCGCGCAACTGTGCTGTGCCCATGGCTCCTCGTCATCGTGCGCGGAGGGATCCAAGTCGGGGTCGAAGGACCTCGGTGAGCTCAGCGGTTTGAGCTGGCGCCCTGCCGCGGTCGGACGGGACAAAGGTGCCCAGCCTCGAGCCTGAGAGGCGAACCAGAATCCTTGGCTGAGCCTAGCTTCCAAAAGGTGTGTATTGGATATTCAATAATACTCATGGATGACCTTGAATGATGCAAATGGGACGCATATAGTGTTCACCCAAACAAGTCCTGTCAAGTCCTGGGAGGGAAGGAAGGCGGACCTGGGCAGCTGACGCGCCCTTCTCAGTCGGATGGGCACTGATTCAAGATAAACAATCATACACAATCATGATACTGTAAATCCGCCGGAGCCCACTGGGGCCGCGAATGCAGTGTTCTTTCAAAAGGATCGTTTGCAAGATAAGCAAGCCGGGCTGAGGGGTGATCCTTCAGTCTCCGCCGCGCTCGGCTCACCCTCCTTTTTTGTTTGCGGAAGTGGACGTGCGACATCGTCCTCTTGGCCAAGAGTCCTCTCAAGCAACGTGCCATCTGCGGCCACGGCTTGGAAATGCATTCGCTGATTGATCCGCCAGTGTCGTGGTAGATCAGCTGGGCGACAGTCCCAGCTGGCAGGTGGATGTGGGTCATCCAGCCACCCTCAGCGGATCATCTAAGCAACAGCTGTGGAAATGAAACCCACCCACCCCGCCAGATATAGCCCTTTGGTTGGTGGCGCAAGAAATACTAGTGTTGACCTCTGATTAATAAATACACGGGGGTGGCAAATCTTGAAATTTTTGTCGACCCTAAATAAAGTTCATCCCAGGTTCCAAGACAGAATTTTAATTAGAAATGAAATGATCCCTTACTAAAATGAATATTAAAATATAGGGGAATTCGGAATTAGTATTCAATTGAAATTGAAATTGAATTGAATACCGGGAATTTAATCCCTTTAATTTCGGATCCCTTTATTAATCAGAGGTCGACATTAGAGGAGGTAGAGGAGGTGCTTCCAACTCCAAATGCCTGTTTGCCATTTGCCTGTTTCCTTGAAGGATGGGGCATCGGCAAAAAATGTCTTTCTCTGTTGAGGATGAGACCGCCGGTAACTCCTCCAAGATGTGAGATCCGCTTTGTGTAACACCACAGCGCACACCGCATTGATCGTTCATCTATTTAAGACCTGGGCGGGGGAAATGGTTGGGACAGTCATATTTTGGCATCTTAGATCGTGCCGTGGACTTGACCTTTACCAATTTAGCTGTTCAATGTGATGTCGGATTTTGACCTTTGGGGCTTGAACCTCCCTGAACCGTCCCCCGTCACCCACCACGATTCCCGCCCTTCACCGATCCCTTCACGGCAGGGCCACGCTCCGCAGGGCTCACTTCTCCGTGAAGCAAAGCAACCACTGCGCTGTGCATGGCCCACTCGGAGGGCATCTCCTCCTCTTCTTCGGGAAAGCCGACTGTGACCTCCGACGAGGGCCACCACGAAGGAGCGTTTCTGTGGCCCGCCCAAATGGCAAATCAACCTCTCCAGACCCAACCCAGCGCAGGATGAATGATTGGAAGTTCAGTCACAAACCGGTCCCCAAAACACAAAATTGTCATGGGATTTGGAGGGAATTACTGATATGACTGGCACCTTTGGTTGTTTACTGTGTGGACATTGAGTTTAGAATATAGCCCGAAACAAACCGGCCCAAAACACATATAGATGTACTGCTTACTACCCCCACCTCTGCAAAGCAACGTTCGTTGAAGCGGGCCAGGCGCTCATCCTCCGACAACAAAACATAGTCTGCATGAGGCACCTGACATGTGCGCAGAAACCGTGGTGTCGCCATTTGCCCACCAACGTGGAACACATGCATTGCTGCATGAGCCGGGACCAAACAAAGCTTCCAGAAAATGCCATTGGTGTTTTTGTTCCCTTGTCTCTCTCCCTATCTCTCTCCGCCTCGAGGGGCGTCGTAAAAGGTTCGGCACAGAACCTTCCGTCATACCCCCAGTGGTCATGGATTCCCTGCACTGGCTACGCCCCATGAATTCGAAGCACTGCACTCATCGGGAGGTCTGCATCCCCCAACGTCATATCAGCATACCCACCACCCTTACATGTTGGTAGGTACATATAACATACATAGGCCATCTATTAGAGATGTATCCCATACACAGGCCATCTATGACACCTACAGGTCTATGGTGCTCACCGGGCGCCGCCTCCGTCCAAAGCCACCAGGCGCCCAACAAAGCACAGGCACCAGCAGCCGCGAGGAAACCCACGAGATGCCTCGGTGTACACATGTGGACACTGCTGAAGTGTTTGGAAAGTCCTGACCTGGCTGCTCCAAAGAGCGTTGAGTGACTTCGCGGTACTACGTACTGCAGAATGGCACCTTGATATTGAATGTTATTGAGCTATCTTACGTGATCTTACGTGTATTTTTTAAACAACATTCTACACCCCCCAGCCACCACAGACCAACCCGTCTGCATTCTGCTCACAATTGCCATCAGCGAGACTGACAAGCACGCTCAAAGGTTGGTTGACCTCCCAACACACGCACGGTTTAAAGTTTCTCCGTGAAAAAGGCTAACTGTGTGAAGCAAAAAGGTTCGCACATCGAAAAGGAAGCAGTAAAGCATACTAAAGCACCGGTCAGTCCCCGAAGACTTTACGAGAAGTCCGGTTTCGAGGCCTTTTGCCTGAGCCTAGGGTGGTGCCGGTCGATTCGGCGAGTTGTACTCGGGCATCTGACGTCAGATTCCATTGCCCAGTCAGCTTTGGGTCTCTCTCTCTCTCTCTCTATGAAGTCATTCGTTTGGTAAGACGAGTCCCAACAGGAACAAATGACTTCAAGTGGATCGAAGGGACGACATGAGACTACCACTCGGCTGAAATGGTGCAATCTTATGAGGTTGTCGTATGACGAGGGAGGGGTTGTCTATGCGCGCGCGCGTGTGCCCTTTTTGTGGCTTAGTGGACCACGGATGACTTAGATGATCCATCTCTTGGATCGCTCTCTCATCCGATCCCAACTTCTGCCCACCCGGTCAGCCAAGCAGCTGCATGTAGGGATGAACTGGGATGAACTACGCAGGCATCAAACAGCAGCAACGAGAGCCCAGGCGCACCGAGCTTCTCAGCAACACTCAGGAACACGGGTGTTCCGCTTGTTCCTCTTGCTTAAGCGTTTCCAGATCTTTTGTGCAAGTAACGGGGCTTGTTTGAAGGATTCATGTATTATGTATGACTCCTTTTCATCATGTTTTATACGATCGTCCAGGCCGTGGGAAGAGATGTTTTTTCGTCATGTTGCTCCTTGACGAAACCTTGTGAAGGTGAAAGACTCCCGGTACAAGGATTCCGGTGCCTGAGTTCTGGAAATTGACCATTATATATGCGTATTTTCCAAGCGCTTGAACCATGACCACAAAGGCACTTGGTGTGCCATACAAGCAGGTCAAAATGACCTTTTGTGAGCAGATCTTCCCCTTGTTGCCACAAAAAGCCCAGTGATGACGGAGAAGTAATCACACAAGCTTCAAAGCTATGTCCAGAAATGCATGCTCTTGCTGAAAGCCCTGTGACTTGGACCTCTGGGCACGGAATGTTCCTCAAATGGTTTATGTCTGCAAAAACATTTTTAACAAAATGCATGTTAATTATAGATATAACACTATATAAGTAAAATCATATATGCATAATAGACCACATAACAAATCTTCTGTATTGTAATATTGCAGTAATTCTATATTTACTCGTGACACGTGACTCATCACATCTCATAACCAAGGATCACCCTGACTTCACCTGAAGTTCTACTGATTACCCGGTGGCAGCCAGTGGCTTTTTACATGTGGTCGGAATGATCAAAAGAGCGCTGTGCCGAGTGCCGAACAGAACTGCCCTTAGAATTTCATGTTCCTATAGTCCTATAGTGCAACAATGAAAGGCCACTCCATGAGGCGTCTGGACAGCTAGCTAAAACATGCTAAATGCTAAAACAATCATCCTTCCATTGTAGCATCTTGTTGAAAGGGGGCTGTCTCGTTCCTGCAAGTGCTCAGTTGTTGTAATTGACCCAAAATTGGGTCAACCTGGTTGTTGGCCCGAGCCTGCGCGTGCTTCCCATACATCTCTGGGTTCCGTGCATACCCGCTTCGCCTTTTCCACCCGTTCCTGCCATATCCACCGGTCATCTTGTTCGTTTCGCACAGGTCATGTGGCCTCAAGGAAGTCCGAACCCTCGAGATAGGGCTCCAACGCCTCCATCAATACCTGCAAAACAAGGTTTGACGGAACCTGTACTGCCCATGCGTCTTGGACCAAAGAGGGTGAGGGCGGCATCGCAAAGGCGCGGCCTGGTGCGGTTCGGGGGGGGTACCTCGGGTACGGCCCAAATTGGGCAACATCAGCCAACCATCTGTCGTTCTTGAAACTTGGACTTCTGATTTCTTAGTTCAGGAATTCCGTGTTTTCGTACGTTTGTTCATATCATCCCCGGAAGCTTGCTGGCCTGTATCCTTCGATCGTAGACACCAAATGGTATTTTTAGAATATCCATGATAGAACATCTGATTGTGCCTCACCCGGACATCGGCTGAAGGCACAGCAGCAAGCAAACGTGCTCACCCTAGCTCTGTCTAGCAAAGGAATTTTGAAACGTCCACCAAGGTTCGAACATGTTTGAATTTGAACAGAAGAAAACATCAATGCATGAGACGTAGACCTTGCTGCTCCATCTCCACTTGAAGCATTTCTTCACCTTTGGCCCCAAGCGCGAAAGAGCGCAAGTCAGTTGCAAGCGCTGTGATGAGTGAAACAATGATTCTACGTGGTCCACGGAGCCCCAAAATGTATACCGCACGGAGATCTTGTGAAGTAATTAGTACTATGAGTCTAGTCTGTACGTGCCCAGTGTGGGGAAACCGCACTCGAACACGCGTTCAAAGCTACGCGTTCGTCTCAGATCTGAAGCAGCGACTTGGAAGTTCCGGAAGCACCTGCAGTTGCACAAGTGTGTACTGGCAGCCTTGCCCACAACCAGTGCACCAGCCATCTCTGCAACAGCACACCGTCTCCTTCCCCTCCAAACGCCCATCTCACACCCAAGCTCCAGCCAAAAAAAAAACCTGCCCCGCATCCCCCAAGCGATCTGGTCAAGATCCGAAGCGGTCTGGGACACCAAAACGAGCTCCGTCACGCACGCTCGGTGTGTCGATATGGGCGCCGTGAGCGCTCGCGGCGTGCCGGGCACCCTCGGAAGCGAAGTTCAGGACCCAGTTCTTCAACTGGCTCCTTGGAAGGCTGAGACGTCGACTGGCACTCACAAAGCCTGCCCTCTAAACAGAAACCCGGAAGCACCCAAAAATGAGGAAGGCCGCGTTTTATGTCGCAAACTCCGCTGATCATGGCATCTGTGGGAACGTTTAGGGAGGAAGACGTTGGTTGTTGAAGTCTGTCCTGCTGCAGTAAGGGCTATTAGCTCAGGTGGTTGCACAAATTCCAGAACAAATCCATGCAAGTGGGCGGTGGTATTGTTAATTACCAATTACATCCAATTACCCAGTTCGCAGAGTTGACCCTTTTCATCCGGCCCTCCTACGTGGTGGAGAAAGAGCACTCATCACCATCGAGTTTCATTAATGACATGAATGTTTGCTTTTTCTTCCTACTAACCCCTGTCTGGTCCCACCTCTTATGTGCACATGACTGACGTATTTGGCTCAAGCCTGGTAAAACAACCGCTTGCTTGCCGTGCGCCATAGCACTTGACAGCTTCCAGAATGCACTTGTCCGTCCGGACCGCTCTCGAGACAGTGTCGTCCACGTGAACCCCACTGTCTCGAGGACAGCGTCTTCGTGTCGCCCCCCACCGGCCACCGAACCCCCGAAGAATCTTTTGTCGTCACATCAACAACTCATCATGTAAGGTTGATGATGATGTTGTGAAACCGATCATGATGTTCTCGACATGACACCCACGTCCTCGTTCCAGAACATATGGCCACCGGGTCGAAAAGGTCAGATTTAAGGTGATTGTCAAGATGAGCACCACGATGCACCACGGTTTCCGACCCGGTGGCAAAAATGATCACAAAAACATGGCGTCCCCAGCTCCAAGGGCCGACCTCGGGAAGGCGTGCGGGCGTGCGGTGCGTATCCAAGCGTCACATCGCAAAGCTGGATCACGAGCCTCAGCGGACGCTCAAAAGCGAGCTCTGCAAACCTGCAACCCAGAAGGATCCAAAGGAAAGGGCATGGAATCCCTCCATGGAAAAACGACCCTTCCAGGTGCTCCTCTCAAGTATCCGTGCCGGATGAAAATGAACACTCAACGCAGATCTTCGTTTCCAGCGGAGTCGCGTTCTACGTCTATCCCATTCACATTAGGTAAACCTTCCCTTTCATTGACCTACCGCTTGCCAAGGGGCGCTTGCATGGAACAAACATGCCAACGTCCGTCTGGCAAAAGCAGAATCAACTTCAGCCTGCAACGATGGAGGTGCTTTCCGGATCAACAAATCTCAGTAGTCAATCTGTACACGGGAGTGTTGATTGCACGTGTACAGCAATTGGCCCTGGCAATGTGCAAGCTGGTGTCCTGTACGAAGCTGCACCTTTTCATCGCTCACCGAGTTTGACAGCGGCCATACATGCACTTTACCATACGTTACGCCGGACATGAGCTTTTGTTACGTATGTATATAATACTTGAGAGAGGAGGGGGTGAACGAAAGGTAGCAGGCAATCACAAGCAACCCTGGTAAAAGTCCATGACGGCGTGAACCGGCGCAGGGGGGATTTGATCCAGGGGGGGGGCCCCCCCCCCGACGAACAGAATCAACTCTTACAGGACCAAACTCAATGCACAATCCCAACTCCTGATTGTAATACATGTTTGCTAAAGCAAGGAGAACTCAGGTAGCTCAAGCTACCTTTCGTGATTTATATATATAGAATATATATATATACACTATATTATTGTATGTGTATATATATATACATATATGTGTGTGTGTAAATGTATATATGTATATGTTATATGTGCATACTGTATACACCTATACATAAAATTACAGTAAGTACATACATACGTCTCATTGGTCAACTGCTTGGCGGATGGAGATCTGCGCTCGCACCTCTCCGAGGTATGAGCTTGCAAAGATAACCTCTCGGGCCGCTGGCTTTGTTGTAAAGGACTCTCTTGGTATGACTCGGTATACGACCCCCCCTCCCTCCAACAAAAAGATTCTTGCTAGAAGTAGCTAGCTGTGAGTGTGAGGCCAGCTGTGAGTGTGGGACAAGACGCAAAGGGAAGCTACAAGGGTGGACGGGCAAGCCAAATCGACGACTGGTATTGGTCGGGGGTCCATGCAAAGATTACAAGGCTCCATTAGACTGCATCCAACAAAAGAAGTGCACAGCCCACTTTTTTGCAAAGGCCTTCCACAGGAATAGCAGGAATGCTGACATAACCCATACAAACAGGGCAGCCCTAAAGCAAACAAACCCGGATTCCACTCCCGAGGGAATCTGTCACTGCCGAATCTGAAAGGAGGTGAGGTGATTGCTCATCTTCAAAGCTCAAGCAGGCATTCCGGTCCCACAATTCAATAGAAAGACTCTCCTAAACCAGTGTGCTTTAGAAAGCCCCCTCACCACTCTTCTATCTAAACTCAATCTGAATCTGCACCACTATTTATATGGCTGTGAACTCCGAAACCTTCCGACACCATCTCACCTGGTGAAACGATTGCGCCTCTCGTCTCCCGTCTCCCTTCTCCGCCTCTCGCGCCCAGTCCCGGACGCGTACGCCACACGCGGTCCAAGCCACAGGGAGCGGCCCGGATCCACGTCCGCGAGTTCCACCTTTGGATGTGTTCCACTGGGCGAACCACCACCGGACGACGGACCGTCCGGTCAACCGGTGAACCACGTTTCACGACCCGGTGACCGGTGAAGTCGGGAGTTGGTGGTGGGTCTAAGGGTCTAACATCGGCCGTTGGTGGGTGGGTCTTTTTCGCAGGGTGTGGTGCTGTTTCTGTGTTTTGGTTGGTGCGGCTCGTGTCCGAAAAGTTCTGAGACCGCTCAAGACATCAAAAGAACGATGTGTTTTGGGAAGGGATCCGACCGGCGGTGAGTTTGGTGGAAGTGGAAAAAGATG